TCGTGACAGGAGTTTCTACGCAATGTACTTTGACATCACCCATGATATGTATGTGAGTGTACTTTCGTTGTAAGCTTCATCTTAAATCAGCCGCTAGGTGGTAGTCGTTGTCGGGTGTAGGGTCACGGGGCAGTGCACCAAGACAATAAAGCAAGCGTCCCTGTCTTTTAACTGCAAGCGGCACCAAAGAGAGTCGGGGAACTGCGAGTCTGAATCCTCCACGGCTTCGCACTGTAAGTCGCTTCGGTAATACAGGATTACCCCTCCTCCTTTTGTGAACCTATCGTTCCGGATCAGCGACATGCCCGGTAGCGAAACTTCAGCGTCCGTCATTTCAGTGTGCAACCACGTCTCGGTGATACCAATGACATCATATGACTCGAACGCTTGGCGATCTTTCAGTTCGGCCAGTTTATTAAAAAGACCCTGAGCATTCGTATACAAGCAGGCCAGTTTCTCGGTCTCTAGGAGCCCACAGAGGGGTGAAGGGGTCAAGTGTGGGAGAATACCGACCGATGGGATGTCGGCAGTTACTCGTTTTTTGATGAGATAATGATACCTAGTTTGCAACTTGCTTCGTTCAAGGCGCGTCTCAATCTTCGTTTAGATCCACATTAGTGTCAATTAAAGCAACAGTCTAGTTACGCTTCTGTACATTCGTCGGTATGCTTGGTGCTTCAGGTGCTTTAATATTTGAGCTGTGCAAAGCTTCTGTGACCTTTAAGTGAAGTTCAGAAGGAAGATTTTTCCGATTTCTCCGCCATCGATCCAAAACATCCGTTGCTTACTGCACTGACTGAACCACAAGTTTTAGGATTTTAGGGCTGCATCCTCTATACTTTGGTGAGAGAGGTATCCTGGTGAGCGATGGCGTTACAATATTATCCAAAAAATGTGTTTCACGAATGAACCGCCACTGATCTAAATCGTACTTTCTGGTCTCTTAAACATCGTTAGAAGGTTGTTCCGGTATGCCATGTATGAAGATTGTGTTTAGGCGGTGTTGCTTGCTGTACCACTCCTCGGTGTTGCTTTTTGATTGTCCGCGCGCTCCAATGGACATCAGAATAGATACGTATCCCACAGGATCCGTGTCTTAGCACGCTTGCGGAGATCAGAACATTTTCTACTTCGGTGGAGGATTCTAGTATTACTCGAATAAGTCTGAGTTGACCATAGTGGGGCGAGTTCGGATGACGAGAATTTCGTAACTAAGTTTATGGGCTTGGCTTTGATACTCATCTGCATACACAATGAGTTCCATTGGTCTTGGTCGTCTGATAACTATCCCGCTAATGTGATGGCGGTAGATTCAGGGACCTTTGAGCATACAACACGTCCCGTGTCACTGTTGTTTGGATCCCATTTTTCGTCTGATCTACAAGGTATGTACTCAGTTTGTCTTGACTTGTTGACAAGTGTTGGTTGTCTGTGTTTCTCTCTATTGTGTTAACAGGCTGTTTACAATGGAAGAGGCCGCAACGACGGCCTATCGGTGTACCTTTGCAGCCATCTCTGAATTGGTAACTGAAGTTCTGGGAGGCTTAGTCTCGACAAGAGTATGTTGAAGCTACAGGTACCGAGGGTTGGTGTTCTGGCTGCTGCTTATCATTGTTAATACTATAAGTCCAGGGTCTAGGTGGAATTGCTTAACCAGACGTTTTGATGTGTGCATGATTTTCGTTGCTGTGAGTACTGTTTGACTTCGTAGGTACAGTCTGTTTTCCGCCGGGCGTTCTACCAACTGTTGGAGCAAGACAACGAAGATGGAGGACGTGGCTGATTTGCGGTACAGGGAAGCTGGGATTGTACAGCATTCCGTTGCCTCGGAAGCGGCTACGCTTTCCTGTGATGCATACTCGCTTCCATCGAAGTGAATCTTATCGTTTTATCCTCTGTACTGTTCTGCGGTTTAGCGGTCGCATTTCTGAGCTTCGGATAAAGCAAGGACTTAACGAGTGGGATGGTGGAGCAGGCAGTACAGAACCAAAATGTATCTTGGGAGCTATTTCGCTCTCGTACCTGTTGTGGGGACACATTTGCACATTTCGAATGATACCACTCCAAACAGTGCGAGCAAGCCAGACCGATTTGAACTACTCGATGACATTCTCGTAACCCGCAAATGCCTTTCGCTTAGAGCCTTTTCGTTTTCACATTTCTGCCGCTCAACGTGGCGTCGTTACCTGATGCATTGGGTTCTGTACTTTTCCAGCTTTGAGAGCGGCGCACGTCGGTCAGGCGAACGTGGTGGTTTCCAGGTCAAAACGATCCGTTTCGTTGTTGTTGTTTCAGGTGTGGTATTTGTTCTCTTGTGTTTTATGTATCCTCGGATGAAACTGCGTGGATAACCGTTGAGCAAAAAAGATGTAAACAGATGGTTTTCTTCTTCGCGTTTTGCTTCCGCAGTATTACAATGTGGTTCTATCCTGGGAAACAAGTTCCGTATGCAACTGCTTTTGTGACATTTTGGATGGTTGCTTATGAAATTTATGATTTGGTCTGTGTGATACATGTCAAGAAGCTCGCAGTAGTTGGAGAAACTTCAAGGACTGCGGATTGATTATGAAGGAGTAATGGTGTCCTTCGACGTCACTGCACTGTTTACTTCTGTCAACTTACAAGTTACAAAAGAAAACATCAGAAAACGCCTGTACTTTGGCTGAGGTATAATCGGAAATATGACGGCTGATAGTATAGCGAGCTTTTGACTTGTGTTTCACGACCTACGTTAACTTGGATGGGGTATTCTATGAACAAGTGAAAGGATACCAAATGGGATCACCTATATCTGGGCTCCATGCAGAGATTGTCATGCGCAACTTGGAGGAAAATCTATTCCAAGTCATGAACCCGAAATTGTGGGTCAGATATGTTGAGAACACGTTCTCCATACTCAAACGCAGCAAGTTGCAGACCGCAAATGTCTGCTGATCGATGGCATGGATGGTATTCACTTCACCATGGAGTCAGAAATGGAGAACAAACTACCTTGCTTGGATGTGCTGGTTGCCAGAGCAGCGGACGGTCAACTACAAACATCATTTCACAGGAAAGACGCGCACACATCAAATCTTACATTTCAAAAGCAACCATCCGAAATGTCACAAAAGCAGTTGCATATGGAACTTGTTTCGCAGGATAGAGCCACATTGTAATACTACGGAAGCAAAACGCGAAGAAGAAAACCCTATGTTTACATCCCTCATACGCAACGGGTATCCACGCAGGTTCATCCGATGATACATAAACTACAACAGTGCAGATACCACACCTGAACCAACAACAACGAAACGGATCGATTTGCCGTACATCAAGAACGTATCTGAACTGACTGCTAGACTCTTCAAGTCTCCCCATCTGTTAATAGCACACATAACAACCGCCACTCTGAAAGGAACCCTGTCTTGAACGAAAGGGAAAACGAGAGCGCACGAACACCGGAACGTTATTTACATGATACAGTGTAAAATTGTGATAAAACCTATTTGAGCCAAAAGGGGAGAAAATCGTCTACAAGGTTACAAGAACACAAGCAAGCCTGTCGAATCCATTACCCATCATCGTTGGTCTCGATACACGTTGGTGAAAAGGACACGTGTTTGATTGGGAGAAAACAGAGGCGCTAGTGCAGGGTAAGACCATAAAAGGAAGAGAATTTCTCGAAGCGTGGTTTTCTACGGAGAATCCAATATACCTGTGCATCGACTTAGATCCTGTACACCATCAGCTGCGAAAAATGAATTTACGTGGGTCTTTCAACACGTGAGTCGAAAAGAGGCGGCGCCCGAACTGCGAACTAGCAATGGTCACGGGAAGCGAATCGAAGTGGCCAATTTCAAACGTCACTCGCTTGTCGGTCAAGAATCGACAAGCCACTCAGTTTGCTTACTATGCCCTGAAGAAGTCATCTCGATTGGTGATGAAACGACTGCAAAGAAATTGTTCAGCTCGGAGAACAGAACGAAATCTGAACATACAGCCCGAGCTACAGTTATTCCGGTTTTTTGCTGACATCAGTCTTCTTACTTCCAGACTCCGGTCGTACGCACAAACAACGCACGTCGCTGGAGTCGATGTGCTAGCTTGCGCAACTATTGGAGCCTGGCGCGTAATATAACCGTGCTGAGCGGTTCAGTCTCTCTTCCTGCACCAGATGCGTGACGGGTTCATTGTTTACACGGTGTTCCCACCACGTGTGAGCTAAGGTGCGGAGGCGGCGTTGCTCCAACTTTACTAGCCACTTTACATCTGTCGAGCCGATGAGCATCTGTACATTCAAACAAACAGGCATGACCGCCAGTTTCACTGTTATTTTAGGCGCTATTTGTGCACTAATTTTCCTCAACGTTGCGCGTAGTTACCACACGGAAGTGACGCGAGTTACAGAAATCGAATCGGCCTACGTTCAGGTTATGTTGAAACGGCTGCAATGAACTTGCACTATAGACGTGTTGTTGGAGATCTGATGCGGAACTACTGCCCTCTGTATCTTCCTTCATATTCCCCCGATCGATTGTGACCACTCGTAGACTGCATAGCCCCATAATGCATATTAGTCAAAATTGTCTAGTATTGATCGCTTGTGCAAACTAGTGATGTTTGCCTGAAAGCACAAGCGCTTTCAGTTAATTGCAGAACTACCACATCAAAGCATGATGGCGGAGTTCCACCGGGGGTTTGAAGTAATTAGTAATGAAAGGATACAATCTGGCAGGTGTCCACCAAGGCACATTGTACTATAGTTCTAACTGGCTTTCAAGACACTACTTGGAACTATTTTGTGACTATACCACAATTGATTAAATTACCGCCTTTAAAGTAGACACTATGTCCGCAGTATCGATTTGGGTAAATCTGATGATCTTTTTTCAACCTATTAAGGAATATCTCGCTGGCCCACATTTCATACCGCTTGAAATACTGAGAAACTGAAGAACCTATGCTAAACTCAAGAAGCCATCATAACAGGAAACTTGCCAAGGAAAATAAATACGTACCTGTTACATCAAACACAGTGCTATTCTGTCCTGAGATCGCAAACCATGTCGTCGATACCAGGCGTAGAACTTGTGCAGTGGCTCGCAGACCGATAGATGTAGCCCAAAATAGAACCGCAGGGTGTAGCAAATGTAATCGATGGATCTTGCCTGAAATAGCAGGAGGTTACAAAGTGGTGGCGTGGCTACGCAAAGGGTGTGCTGATGATGAACGGAACAAAAATCCGTAAATCTCCTTGCAAACTGGTTATGAGAATATGGAGCGAACAGCGTACATTCCGCCATGACGCTACGCAATTAATATTATCAGTTTAGTTACACACCACGCCGTAGGCATTGGACATCGTTCCAGTAATACAGACACTGAGGAAAATTTCTCAATTCGTTGCGTTAGCAACGATGGGGATAAAATAATGGCGCAATAGTATTTGAATGGTAGTGCTATTTATGGTTGTTCTCGTGATCTGCTTTTAGTGAGCTATGTTAGAACTTTATTTCCGTTTGATTACAACAAGCCGGCTACACCATACAGCAGCCAGAAAGTCGCGGGAAATTTTGCTGTCTTTGTGTACGCCAGCCATAGAACGCTCTTTCCATTTAACTTGTTTCTCCTCCTTCGTTATTCGTGCTTAAATAACGCCTTAATATTGCCCTAACTAATGTATTCCATTACAAAATATAGATCGTGTACATCGGAAGATAGGATAAAGCGATAAACCGTGCACCAATCAGCACTCACCCGCTCTTCCGCACATGCCTCAATGTGAATGCTATTTTGAATTCACTAGGACGGTTTTCGTTTTACCATCCATCTGTCAATTTGGTGCTTATTGTTCTGACCATCCTACGGGATTTGCTGAACATTTGCTTTTCACGCATATATATATATATATATATATATATATATATTCCAATACACCCTTGTTAAAGTTGTCATGATATTCAAATAACCGGGGGCATATTTATATGGTATCACTGGTCGTCGTATACAATGTATGCTAATCAAACACTTAGGCTAACAGGGGGTGGTGAAGTTTAGTGAATGCGGTGATACCTTACATTGACACAGTCACGGCGAGTCACTGAGCTAGGGCTGACTCAAAAGTTCCTAGCGTTCTTTGCTGATAAGTGGAATGTCCGGTGGATTTGGCAAGTAATCGCTACCTAGGAGCATCTGCGTCTCTACATAAGATGGACCGTACATAGGCATCATAGGAAACACATCAGCTGTTCCCCACTGTACTTTTGTGTCCACTCTGTGAATCCTATCCTAGTATTCATGCTTAGGATGTAATGGCATTCATATCATTAATCGTTTTGATGAAGATGGGATCAATACACGCGAACATACTTCTCCACAAAATTGCTTACCAAACCTTTACTCAATAGTACCCGGATGCCTATAGCATTCATAGTAACTGCTCTAAAATAGCATTGCAACTATTTTCATCGATATTGCAACTGGCCAACTGGGTGGCAAATACTAATATGCTTTCAGATTGGTCACTCTTTAAATATTTCCTCTTCTACGAGAAGCTGATTGACACATATAGTAGCATCTTTTCTGACTATCATAAATCTACAGAGAGAACATGTCATCTGTGATAAGGGTAGCCGTCTCCTAGCAAATAAAACATGTAACCAAGGCAGACAGCTTGCACAAGGCCAACGTATAACCAAGACAAAGAACAGCTTATCAGTGGATAAATGACTTAAAGTAAAGTGATGTCAAGTGGTGATAATACGCAACAGATTACTATGACTTAAAACCCACCTGTGACATCTGCGGCCAGTCCCACCAAAACCAACAGACAAACGCAGAACACGAAATCCATTTCCAGTGAGCCTGGGAGTAAGATCATAACGCTTTATGTCGTTACAAATATTATCAAAGCTGTAATATGACACTTTTTCATTAAACAGGCTAAGAGCATTGTGACAGGCACGATACTTAGATAAGAGTCAAAATCTCTTATGAGAACAACGTGAGGAACATGTAAACACGTATTTATCTCTAACATTTCTGCTTGTGACAAAAGATAAAAATAGTCTTTGAAGAACTATGTACGTGAGTAAACCGACTACCAACCGGTAGTCTTACATACTAGGGTATATTATGCTTTGAATATGTCCGATTCCCGTTGACTCATAGCTATCAAGGGCGTAAAAGGAAAACACGCCACGGGTGACTGTGTTTGCTCTTTATGTTCATTGAACTCTGTAGCCTACGCCCATGAAACGTTGGATGTTGGCAATCGTGAATCCTAGGTGAAGCAGATAAAATAAGAGAATACTTTAGGCTATGTGTAATTCCATAACCGTTTACTAACTCGTGCATACCCGGAGTATGGAAATCTTACTAGGATACACCAGTCATATATACAGAGGCGTAGCATAGGGAAAGCCGGTGCGTCCCGGACGGCATGTGACAGGGGACCGCACTTTTAGTGCCGTCGAGTGTTCAGTACAACATATAAAGGGCTACATATCCGGACAAGCTGTGGGTTACTCTATAAGGCTAACAACAGATTTACGCCATGTGCCACATTTGTGCAAAATTTCATCCTAGCAATCCCCTTACTTGTGTACCATTGTGGTCACTTTCACCACATTTACCTTAGTGTACCGAACGAGCATCCATTTCATTGAAAACTAATGTGCACTTAAGCCTGAGCTGATTGTGTGGCCTTCACGCGTCTATTCTGCCGTCAGTCAGGGCGACAGTTTTTACAACAGCCCCGGTAGACTAAACTAGTTTCTACGCCACTGCATGTACAGCTGGGTGTAGAGAAGTATCCGTGCGCTTAGCATCATTTATTGGCGACATGGATACTAACCAACCCTCTACTCTCAAACTTTTAAACTCAACAGTAACCCCACTTACCGAATTTCTGTGCAGAAAAATGTCCGCGAAAGAAATCTCCGGCAACACCGTTGCGTAAAGTCAATTGATACACCCCTTCAATCCCCTTCATCGGCTTTGTTATGATGGAGTCAGCATAAATGCCATTCTGGGGATAAAAGAAAACATTTAAGTTGATTGTCTCAAGCCGAACTTTTTGGATTTGCCTTGAGTAGACTTAGAAATGGAATACGGAATCTGAAAAAGCGTCCAAATTGATGTGTTGGTGGCTGGTGACTCAGCTGTACTAAATCGATGCAAGCCCACTGGTTAGGGGCCAACATGATATCGCCCACGCAAGCCTGCCACAATCTTAAAACCAGATAGGCCCCATTAGTAGTGTAATTTGTAGTGTAATTTTGGTGTAATTTTTCTTCTCATCTTTTTGACATTGCGGCACATTAGCTGAGGTGGGTTTCTCACCCTCAGCTAACGTGCACTGATGAGGATGATGACGAGGGATCAGTAGAATGAAAGGGCTCGCGCTGACTTATGTGCGGTGGGCCGGCACTAACAGCGACATAGAACAATTGATCAGACACTGTAAAGTATGTCAGCGTACACAAAGAAACGACCCACCGGTTCCACTGAGTCCGTGGAGATGGCCCGACAAGCCATGGAAGCGCACACATGCAAACTACTTTAGTCCGCTTGATGAGCAAATGTATATTCTTGTAATTAACGCCTACTACAAGTAGGTTGAGGTGTCTCCTGACACATGTCACCTCGGAACAGACCGATGCGTGCATACGAATGTTTTAGTACATTCGCTATACCGCAGATATTGGAGACAGAAAACGGCTCTATAGCCACTGGTCTTCACTTTCAAGAGTTCCTCCAAATTATCGGCAACAGATGTGAAATTCGTCTCTTACCATTCCGCCTCAAACAGACTGGCGGGAAGAGAAGATCAGACTAAGATAGTATCGCAGAAACAGTCACCCGCTCCACCCCGAACGAAGCTGGACAAATTTCCATTCGATTACCGCCCCACACCAAGTGAAGCGACAGCTAAAAGTCCAGACTAACTGATATTCATCCAGGGACTCAACACTCAACTAGGCCTACGCTTTTACGATCAGAGACTACGCGTCGAGGTCTGGCAAGAGGAATTTAAATATATTACGATCGAAATCTATCAGATAAACTACTTCGTGAGGACGAGCTGGTTTACGTCCAGCTGCTCCAAGAACCGATATATCAGGCTGCAGTTCCGTGAAACTGGAGGTCAAATAGCTGAGGTTGCGCTATCGGATGGCAGGCTGGTTATCTGTCACTTGGACTACGTCCGTTGTCATTCTGTTTCAGTCGGACTAGACCACATCCTGTCACACACAGCATCTGTGGGGGCACACATAACCCAAGCAAGCCGAAGCCCAACAAATTCGCCGCTCAGCAAGAGTACACCACCCAGTTGATTGCTACAAGCTACCTGTGATTGTGCAAACAAAAGGGAGGAGAAATGTTGCATATGAATCAACCTCCAGTAAGATGTTCACGGACCTAGTATGCGCGTGAAGCTTTATCTATCGCCTACTAACACATTAGCTAGCTGATCTAAAATACATCATCAATACATCATCGATCCGTGGTTCTTGTCAAAATACAAGGTCCATGTTATCATCGCATTGTGTTCTGTTGTCTTTGCTTCGATCCGGTTACCAGTCATTACTGTGTTCTGAAACGCTGCTTTAGTTCCACACGCGTAGACTTTGACATGCTCTGTCTAGCAACTAGCCTAACTTCGCCCATGTTAGAACGCACCATATTTCAGTGTCGGTCTGGTCCGTGCGATCAAATTCAGTTTGCGTGGGCAACACTGTTGCGGAACTCAGTCCTTCAGGGACAAGCGTTTATTCCGCAAAGACAGCTAAGCGAAAATTACAGCACGTTTAGTAAGCCAAACTCCTCGATATAAATTACAGGTTCAAGTCCATAACTAACGACCCACCTGAGTCGATGAGATTCCTATTTTGCTACTGTTAAACAAACGATGAATCACTCGCACGAATATCGTCCAATCCGAGTCCAGTAATCGAATCCGTCACGTCCGCCTCCCATTGACTGTTTGGTGAGCTCGGTTGGTCAATCAGCTCAATCTGGTCTGATTGTACCATCACATCCTCCCTTTCTTCATGTTCTTGCGAATCCATATTGCTATCCACCCCTAGACCTTGCCACACCACGTCCTCTTCAATGTATCTGCGGTCATGGTCTCCTCGCCTCACGCCATCTGCCAATCTCGTCCCAATCCACATTGTTGTCTTTGGTGTCGTCTCAAATGCACTCG